GTAGCTGTAAATGGTGTTGCTTGCATGATCATAAGGTAGATCAAATGTATCATCCCTTGGTGCTTCGCTCGAAGCTGCCGACTGCATATAAGTTTTCAACTTAGTCGGTTTAGAAGGGTTTATCCGACTGCATATAAGTTTTCAACTTGTTGGGGTTCACGGCTGGAGTTTCCCGGTCGGTGCAGGGTCTTGTTTCGCGGAGTCTCCATTTGTCTCGGCGATTTCCCCTGGTGCCGGCTGGTCGTGACGTTTTAATTTCGCGCCACTGTATAATTTTTTTTTTCCCTCTTTTCAAAGTGGCCAAATTGTCCATTTTCTGCTTCGGGGGTGCTGCACTGTTCTTGCTCTTCAGCTCCGTACATACTTTCTTCATTTTCAAACAGTTCAACTTCTACAATGTCCTGTAGCGCCGCAGAATTCGCATGTTTCATATTTTGTTAGACGCTGCGTCGCATCATCCTTGTCGTTCTCCATCGGATCGGCAGTCGCGGGTGGTGCTGATCGCCCCAAACCACTATTTGGCTGGTGGCTTCGTGTTCCGTAGTAGCTACTGTTCGATCAGTGCTGCCCGAAACTGCGCCCACGTCCCTTTGCCTTGGACTATTCTGTTGCTAATGAACTCTAGAACTGGGCCTCATAACGGTGCTGCTGCGAGCCGTATGCGCAATGCGTCTTGGGTGGGGGTCAAAATAAAATTCGAGTTAAGCTACAAATCGACGAGCGTTGCTCCCTTTGACTATAGGATCAAACACGTCTGGTTGTCTTGGCTTCGCTGCTTCGGGATTAACTGTAGCTGCTGCTGTTGTCGAAGATACAATTGTCGGTGTCGCCGTAATTGCTGCTACTGCTGCTGTGGCTACCGACTGGTTCGCAAGGAGTTTTTCGGGTCGTGGGAGCGTTGCACGTATTTGTTTATGCTCAGCACGTAACTCCGCGATTCTATGTTCTTAAGTTTGTCAATCGGCGATTTACAGGAAGATGCGCGACAAAAATAATTAATTATGGGTGCTGATCGACTTACTGTGAGTCGAAACGACTGTAGCATCGACGAGCACGATTCCTGTATGTTGCGCAAATCTCCTTCAGTCAAAATTCGCCTCTGATCTCGGCCGTTGAAGGAAACTCGATACGCCATTCTCAATTAAAAAACATTTTTGGGCGAAATTATCTTGCCCGTTGAGATTGAATTCGATCTGACGGTCGAAATTCCAACCTTTTTGCCAGTAAATCTGAGGGGTGTTTGAAAACCGGATCGAGAGGGACTTAGAAAAATGCGCGGAAATGGTTTTACATACCCTTATCGGCGTTTTCGTCGTCGCACCCACGTTTTTTTTTTTAAGGCCTGTTCTAAGCGGTTGAAAATCCCGCGTGTAAACTCTCTCTGATTACCAAGTGTGAGGATCTGGTTCAGGAAAGAGAATTCTATTGAATGAATCATCTGGGTACAAGGCGAGGCCATAGATAGGCTCGACACAAAGGCAGTAACCCGGGTGTTACTAGAAGGTTCCGCGGGTCGCGAAGCGTCCTAAACATGTTTTTCCTGAATTCGGTAGATGTCAATTCAGTGGCAACCGAAAAGCCTAGAATTTGGTGCACTCAACCTAGTTCGGTGCCTATAACTATAATGTGCATAGTAAAAGCAACGAACATAGGAAATCAAGCAAAAGCAAGCGAAGAAAAATAAAGCTAAGCTAGATAATGAATAATAATGCATAATCAAGCAAGTAAAGTCCAACAAAGCCGCCGTACTTTCACACTCCTGGCCTTGTAGCATGCAGATACAGACAACGAAACATTCAATTTTCACCCAAATTGTACCCCTATAGTGCCTGCCCTGTTACTAATAGTTAACAAAACAAAACAATACAATTTCGAAATGGATATAACTGAAACTACGCTTTCAAATTAACCGAACCGCAAAGCTTCCATCTTGGGTTCCTTTGCAAGCTCGTCCCTTCTGCTCGCACTGTTCATAGCACGTACAATATTGTGCGGAAGCGCACATTGTGCAAGTACCTGCAAATGCATCGAGGAAAAACTGCAAAGGCAAACAAACACACCATTCACACGCAAATGCATTCGCACACGCATACTCGTACAAACAGACAGCAGGATGTTGTGCAATCTGAAGTTTCAACCAACAGTCTCCTCCGCAACGTCCAATCTATGTGGTATCTTGGGGTGAGGGAGGTGCAGTTGCGGAGGGTGAGGGTACTGGGGCTGCCGAAACTGGTGGTGTCGGCTTCAGGGGTGCAGGGAATGTGGGCGTGGAAGGTAACTCCCATGGAGGACACAGCAGCCTCCAGTCGGCGGACTCGCCCCGCGTCGCCCCCTGGCTTCCCGTCCGTCCATCGTCTCAGCTGCCGGTTGCTGTGGAGCCCGGGGGTGTTTCTGCGGGAGGTACTAAAGGCACCGGAAGTGTCGATGGTGGAGGTGGAGCTGCTGGAGCTGGAGGCACTGGCACTGTAGCGCCTACACCACGCACTGTACGCTTCCTGACCCGTAATCAAGCGTGAGCAGTTTGAGAGGGCACAACAGTAATAGTAGCAGTAGCACAGCAGCAGCAGCAGCAGCAGCAGCAGCAGCAGCAGCAGCAGCAGCAGCAGCAGCAGCAGCAGCAGCAGCAGCAGCAGCAGCAGCAGCAGCAGCAGCAGCAGCAGCAGCAGCAGCAGAAGCAGCAGCAGCAGAAGCAGCAGCAGCAGCAGCAGCAGCAGCAGCAGCAGCAGCAGCAGCAGCAGCAGCAGCAGCAGCAGCAGCAGCAGCAGCAGCAGCAGCAGCAGCAGCAGCAGCAGCAGCAGCAGCAGCAGCAGCAGCAGCAGCAGCAGCAGCAGCAGCAGGTGCAGCAGAAGAAGCAGCAGGTGCAGCAGAAGCAGCAGCAACAGCTCAGTTACAGCGCCGGGAGAGGGTAGAGGAGGAGCCACAGCCACAGAAGGAGAGATTAGAGGAGTCAAAGCCGCAGCAGGAGAGTGCACAGGAGGGAACACGACTGCATCAGCAGGTGTAGTTGCAGCTGCAACAGGAGATAGTACAGGAGGAGTTACGGATGCAGCAACTCGTTCAGTTGCAGTCGCAGCCAGAGAGAGTAGAGGAGGAGTCACGGCCGCAGCAGGAGAGGGTAGAGCAGGAGTCCCGCCCACAGTAGCACGTGCAGTTGCAGACACAGCAGGAGAGCGTAGAGGAGGAGTCACGACCGCAGCAGGAGAGGCCAGAGGAGCAGCCACAGGAGCAGCTGCAAGGGCAGGTGCCGTCGCAGCAGACACCAGAGGAGGAGGAGCAGCAGCAATCGCTCTGATTGACCCTGCACTTGCACGCTTGGTTTGTGGTCCCTACCGTCTCCTCCTGTTTTCCTTGTAGAGTCCCTTTCATCGTCCTTGTGGACTCGTTGTTCTTTTCTCAGTTGTGCTGTGTCTCCAGAGCCCTGTTGGTCTTGTTAACGTGTTCTCTGCCCTTGTCTTTCACCTCCCCCTGTCACAGCCTCCTAAGACGTCCCTCACTTTGCTTCCTGACCCGTTGTCAACTACCTCAGTGCCTCCCGTCCTGTTGTCTCTCGTGCTCTGACCGCATTCGTCACTCACCCGAGTGCCCCGCTGTTGTCTGTCTTGGCTCTTGTTACCACTATCGCTGGCTTTGCCTCTTCCCACTGACCTGATGAGAGACACTGCTCGTTTTCTGTTCTCTAGGGGTGCTCTGGTCTTTCCTTTGGAGGTCTTCGAGGACAGGCAGTTCGAGCTTGGTTTCCTTACGGCCGCGGTTCCTCATCTCTTCGCCATACTGCTTGAGAAGGGTCCAGACGCCCTTAATATCCTGATTCATCGCACTCACGTCGAGGCGATCTCGGGACTTTGGGCGTCATACTGGACAGTAGCAGAGGAGGCACAGATGGCATTGTATAGGTCCACAGGCACCTACTTCGACGTCGTCCCACCACCTGGGGCGAACGTCGTCTATGGCATGCGGCTCTACAAGGTGAAGCTACCGCTTGGATCACCACCTTTGTTCAAGGCGCGTGAGAGGCTTCAGTCAGCGAGAGGGGGTAGACTTTTTCCAGACCTTCGCTCCCACCCCGAAGATGACCATACTTCAAGTGTTGATGCATATCGCAGCTCAGTGGATTATGATTCTCATTAGTGTGCAGTGCAAGTTTTAAGCAGTCTGATTGGTCAGCGTTTTGTTTATCCAAAGCCTGAAAAACAGTGTTACTAAAGAGACGATACTGAAAAGTGTTATACTCCTAAGGACACTGAGTGCTCAGGGTACCCAAAAACCAATCTAAGGCCCTGGCTTACATATGGCATATTTTAGTGTTGATGTTTTTTAAAATAGACAACGTGGGTGTTTTGATGGTCGCTGCAAAACACCCCATCAAAAATGCCATACGGCACAGCTCTGGCCACTTGCAGCGGAAGATTCAGGAGTACGTGGCAATAGCGAAATAGGGGGGAATCTCGACAGATTGTAAGTGAAAGTACCGCGAAATTTCATCGACGGAGAGATTCTCGACGGAGAGATTCTCGCGATGTTTTTCCGTATTGCAGCCACTCGTTAACGACTACAATAATGAATCCGTAAGAAAAGGGGGGGGTGTTATAGAAAATTACCCAAAAATGGGGGAATAGTACAAACGAGGTTGCCTATAATAACACCCACCCCGCACAAGCTACCCGGGGGGTGTACAATTTCGGGGGGTGTTTTGTCAGGGCGGGAGAATACGGTAAGACTTTTGCAGCAATACGATATTAAAGTCCTCTCCCCTTCTCAGCCCAACATCAAGGACCCAAACTCTAGAGTTGGCGTTGCCACAAAATCTTCTACAAGATGCACAAACATGTTCAGTCCCTCCCCTTTCCCCCTTCCCAACAAGCTTGGTTACTTAACTCCGTCGGTGTGAGCAGCTTCCTACTTCAGACCAGACTCACAGAACTGGCCCTGTTTTTATGTTCCTCAATCCATTTGCTGCGTGTGTGCAGCATCCCTCAGTTGACGTATGCAGCCCAGAAGCATCACCTCCACCGGGCCGCGTTGGACACCCTTCCACTGTCCGCACCCCCCCTCACACCACCTGCTTTTTCCCCCCTCCACCCTCCTCTCTTCACATGCCTGCCTCGCCTGCTGGGAGCAGTGGGCGTGGAGAGGAAGGAGTGGAGGGAGGAGAGCCAGGCGGTGGCCTGGGTGACCTCGCGGTGCAGCAGCAGGTGGCGCCCGTACCGTGCCAGCTCACTCCCCACGCCCCGCCGCTGCAGATACGCCTCCACCGCCGCCTGCACGGCTGGTGGCACGGCGCTGGCAGGGGTGAGGCGAGAGGGAGAGGAGTGAAACCACCAATGGCGATACAAGGACGTGGGGAGGAAGGGCCAAGACACAGCGATATAAAGGGCTATACCAATGACTCATAAGGGACTCACTCGTAGAGGGTGTAGTCGAAGGGCAGTCTGAAGGAGTCCTGGTGCACTGCTGCCTCGTCCACTGCCACCTGCCCGGGGCACGCGGTTAGCGTGGGGGGTTGATGTCACGAGGAGCACACGACAGGAGGTCAGCCTGTCACATCAACTCTGCAGACGCAGGGGATGTGACCACGCTGTGTGCTCTTGAAGATTGCTACAGAAAAATAGTGCAATGCGCGATGCTGCACTCACATGATTCACACGCCACCGGTCGCCTGCAATGGTGCAGTGCACTCGCAGCCGCGCCTCCTCCTCACCACCCCCTGCGGCCGTGCCTGCAGTGGATGCTGCGGCCCATGCAGCGTCCCCTCGCCCCTCGCCCCTCATGCGCCTCCCAGGCCGCCCCCTCACCACGCCCTCCCTGCCACCCATGCCACCCATGCCCATGGCCATGCGCCGTGGCGCCACATCACTGCCCGTGCTCCGTGCTGCCGTGCTGCCCGCCTGCACGGGCTGCACCGGCTTGCACACGAGGATGAGCGCGGGGATGCCCGCATGGCTCTCACCGCCCCCAACGCCACTGCCACGTGCCTCACCAGCCCCGCCGTCACCCCCACCCCCCTCCTCCCCCTCCTCCTCCTGGTGCACGAGTCCCCCCTCATGGCCCTGCAGCAGCAGCATGAGGCGCACGTGCTCGCCGTGGAAGGCACGTGTCAGCCACAGGTCCGCCACGCCCTCGCGCTGCTCCACCCGCCACGGGGGGGGCGGCCCTGCCAGGATGGGCTGGGGGGGTGGGATGGGAGGGCGACGCAGGTGAGAGGGAGGTAAGGCGCACGGCAAGAGGCGAAAGGAGGGGCGAGAGGCAGCAGCAATCTGATCTGGTAGCAGCGGCGCACAGCAGGAGGGGTGGGAGGGGCAGGGCGCACGGAGGGGGGGAGGTACATGGCCTTCTCATGCGCCACCTCCATGCCCACCGCCGCCACCATCTCCTCGTCCGCCCCACCGCCCTCTTCCACCCCCCCCGCCCCGCGCTGCTGCTGCTGCCGCTGCCCCGGCCACCACTCCACCGCCTCCTCCCCCCACTCCTTCGCCTTCCGCCGTCTCCTCCGCTCGCCCTTCCCGCCGCCCCCCTCTGCCGCCGCTGACCGTTCTACCTGCTCCCGCCAGTACGCCTCTCCCCACTCCGCCTCCCCCTCCGCCCCGCGCTCTTCCTCTTGCGCCGCGCCTCCCCGCGCCCCTCCTGCGCGCGTCATGCCGCCCTCCCTCGCCAACACCGCTGGCCTCATGGCATCACCGCCACGCGCTGCTGCCACGCCATACCTTCGCCCGCCCACGCCCGCTACCGCGCACGGCCCCTCCCCCGCACCTCCCCGCCTCGCCTCTCCGCCACTCCGCCAACCGCCGCCACCCGCCGCCCGCCACATCGTCGCCCCCTCGCTCGCCACCTGCGCGCCTTGAAGCGAAATCTGCACCGCGTCAGCGCCGGCCGCCCACCGTGCAACCGCCTCTCGCCACGCACTGCCGCGCGCGCCCCCCTTGCACTCCCTCCGCATGCCGTCATCGCCGCTCCTTCCGCCGGCCGCCCCACTCCCACTCCGCTCCTCCCCCATCCCCGTCACACCCATCCCCGTCCCCGCGGCGCTAGATTGCGCTTCACAGCGACGAATCCGATCCGCCGAGAGCGCGGACGGCACGCGGCGGTCCCATGGTGTGGCGGCGGCGGGGCAGTTGTCGAATCCCGGCAGGTGCCGCCCGACGGTGACGAGCGCCGCGCGGGACGGCGCTCGGCGCGCAACAGCGATGACCCTCATTCGACGCAGCGCGCTCGGAGGCACGTAGAGCGGCGCGGGACGCTGCGAATATGGGGAAGGTAAAGCGGCACGCACACGTGCGCGACAGGCGTTCTGCCTAGGCGCGTGCGGCTGAGGGTGGCGGGGGTGGATGGAGATGGCGCGTGTGGGTGGTGTGCGATGGGGCTGGGTGCGAAGGGAGAAGCGATATGAGCAGAATGTACGGGCCGACGGCGATATTTTGTGTTTCCAGAACGGTACAGTTCTCGAGGTTTGGTTCGCGTGGCTCGCATACCTGTGCTTTTGCTGGCAACCCCCGGCGATGGATTCGCGAATCTTCTAGCGAAATCATGTGCGATCATCGCCAACAGAGCAGACCAGCCAAAGCGGCAGAGAGGAGACGATACCTGAATGGCTCACGAAATCTACAAATATGGTACCCAGTGACTTCAATTTTCATCACAAGTTGCTCGCCAACCACAAGCGGACTGTTCGTTCGCTGCATCACCACATCCCGCATGCCTTGTCCCTAACCGCACCATCCATCCATCGTTGGTCGTCATGTCGTTTCTCGCCAGGGCGCATCGCTCGTTGAAGCCGCATCGCCTCATCGCATCGCTCGTCCCCGCGCCGTCCGCCGTGAGTCGCGCACCTCCGTCGCTCGAAGCGGCTCTGCCGAGGGAGCTGTGTCCGCTGGAAGCAAGCCCGTGCGCCCTTGCCGCCGCGCAACGCGCCGTTGGCACCGGCGCGCGTGAATCGGGTGATCCCGCGGAGCCCTGGCAGCGCTGGTCCTCCCGCGAGCCGGGCGCCGCACGCGATGCTGCGCGCGCCGAGACGCACGCGGCGAGTGGGACGAGCTGCTTAGGCGGAGCTTCTGAAGGCGCGGGGTGGCGGGGCATGGCGGCGGTTGGGGCGGCGGAGCACATGGGCCGTAGCGGGGAGGTGGCGGGCGGCGCTTGGGCGCGGGTGACGCGAGGCGGACAGGCGGTGAGCAGCACGGCGCATGCTGGAAGCGGGTGGGGAAGGGGAAGGCCGTCACGCCGCCTGCTGTGCTCCGCGCCCTCCCTCGCCGCCGCTGCTGCCGTGGATGGGGGTAGCGGTGGCAGCAGCGGCAGTATGGAGATCTTCAACCGCCGGTTGAAGGCGATGCAGGTGATGATGAGTGCAGGGGTTTCATGGGGCACATGGGGTGCAACAAGTGACGCATGAAGCCCCTGTGCCAGGCAGCTCGTCTCATCTCTCACAAATGTGCTGCTCTGCTCACTCCCACCGCCCCTTTCCACAGCTCACCTCTGCCCATCATTGCCCACCTCGTGTTGCAGCGTGACAGAGCAGCGGCTGATATGGCATCGCCCAATGACGAGGTGCCACGTGGCGATCCCCTAGTGGAGCAAGTGGCGTCCGTCCTCCTCGACCGCCTGGCAGTGAGTCGCCCTCCCTGCGCGCTGCATGTGGCATGATGCCGCCATGGCAGCACACCTTCATACGCCCGCCATGCCCACCGTGCCCCACAGCTACAGCATCAGCATCGGCGCTGCTCGCGCCACAGTTCCCACACGCACTTTTTTCTCCCCTCTTCCATGACCTCTCCTTCTACCCTTTCTCGCGACACACCAACCTCGTTCCCTCCTCCGGACTCCCTCCCTCCTGCTCTCTGCTCTGCATCTGTACCTCCTGCTCTGCATCTGTACCTCCTGCTCCTCACAATCTTCCCTGCCCAGCTAGCAACCACCACAGCAGCCGCTCGTTCCCCTCTTTCTCGCCCGTCCCATTTCCCCGCCACTCGCCGTGCCGTCCCCCCTGGCACGGCCCACCAGGACTGCCGCCGCACCTTCTCCTGCGTGCTGCTGCTGGGCGGGGCGGCGCTGCCCTCCGTGCTCGCCACACTGCTGCGCTCCCACCGTACGCTCCACACTGGTGCACTGCGGTGCAGTGGGGTGATGTACTGTTGCTCATTGTCAAGCTGATGCCTCTCTGTTGCCTGTGGCGTGCTGCTGTGATTCCCACAATTGTGATATAGGGGTGGGGTACTACAGGGATGGGGATGGGGATGGGGATGGGGATGGGGATGGGGATGGGGATGGGGATGGGGATGGGATGGGGATGGGGATGGGGTGGGATGGGCTTTGGCCGTATGTTGTCTTCCTATCAGCCAACTGCCTCCCTCGTGCTTTTGCATTCCTCTCTAATCTGCTCTTATTGCTCATTCCTCGCATCGACTCACACCGCACCCATTGCTGATTGCAAGGTGTACAGCCGGTGCAAGGTGCACAGCCGGTGCAAGTTGTGTGAACAGCAGCTCTGTGCTGCCACAACCGCATGCACGCTCATCTCTACACCCCACTTGCACCATGTGGAGGAGATTCACTTGCACCATGTGGAGGAGATTCACTTGCACCATGTGGAGGAGATTCACTTGCACCATGTGGAGGAGATTCACTTGCACCATGTGGAGGAGATTCACTTGCACCATGTGGAGGAGATTCACTTGCACCATGTGGAGGAGATTCACTTGCACCATGTGGAGGAGATTCACTTGCACCATGTGGAGGAGATTCACTTGCACCATGTGGAGGAGATCCCCCACCGCCACCACCACTCGCTCTCTTACCGCACCTCTTTCTCCTCCCATTCACGCACCCCCTTGCTGCGTCGCCTTTTCCCCCCGCACAGCAGCCGTGCAGCGAGTGGTGGTGGTGGACGTGTCCCCCACGGCCCTCGCACTCGCGCGCGCCCACCTGCCTGCCCACGCCGTGTGCTGCAATGACTCCGTCCGTGCCGCCACGCACTCCTGGACTCCGCTGCACACTGCACACCCTCCAGCACCGTCAACACAACCAGCAGCATCACAAGCGTCAGCAGCATCAGAAGCGTCAGCAGCAGCGAGGGTGGAGGTGGCGTTTGTGGTGGCAGACGAGGAGCACCTGCCCTTCCACGCCAGGTCACCCCCTGCCATGCCTCCTTCTCTGTTAAAGCACCTCTTTCTATTGCAGCAGTAGCCTTCACTTAAAGCCACCCCTGCCATTCCCACCCTCCGTGCTCTCCTCACCTGCACTACCAATCGAACCCGCCACCCCTCCTCTTTTCATGCAGCTCCTTCGACGCTGTAATATCATGTCTGGGGCTGCATTGGGTCAACGACCTGCCTGCCGCCATGACGCACATCAGGTGATGCTCCGCTCTTTCCTCCGCCGTGCCGCTTTCTCTCCCCGCCGCCCATCCACAGCCGCCTGGAACACCCCATGCACGGCCGCCTGGAACACCCCATGCACGGCCGCCTGGAACACCCCATGCACGGCCGCCTGGAACACCCCATCCACAGCCGCCTGGAACACCCCATGCACGGCCGCCTGGAACACCCCATGCACGGCCGCCTGGAACACCCCATGCACGGCCGCCTGGAACACCCCATGCACGGCCGCCTGGAACACCCCATGCACGGCCGCCTGGAACACCCCATGCACGGCCGCCTGGAACACCCCATGCACGGCCGCCTGGAACACCCCATGCACGGCCGCCTGGAACACCCCATGCACGGCCGCCTGGAACACCCCATGCACGGCCGCCTGGAACACCCCATGCACGGCCGCCTGGAACACCCCATGCACGGCCGCCTGGAACACCCCATGCACGGCCGCCTGGAACACCCCATGCACGGCCGCCTGGAACACCCCATGCACGGCTGCCTGGAACACCCCATGCACGGCCGCCTGGAACACCCCATGCACGGCCGCCTGGAACACCCCATGCACGGCCGCCTGGAACACCCCATGCACGGCCGCCTGGAACACCCCATGCACGGCCGCCTGGAACACCCCATGCACGGCCGCCTGGAACACCCCATGCACGGCCGCCTGGAACACCCCATGCACGGCCGCCTGGAACACCCCATGCACGGCCGCCTGGAACACCCCATGCACGGCCGCCTGGAACACCCCATGCACGGCCGCCTGGAACACCCCATGCACGGCCGCCTGGAACACCCCATGCACGGCCGCCTGGAACACCCCATGCACGGCCGCCTGGAACACCCCATGCACGGCCGCCTGGAACACCCCATGCACGGCCGCCTGGAACACCCCATGCACGGCCGCCTGGAACACCCCATGCACGGCCGCCTGGAACACCCCATGCACGGCCGCCTGGAACACCCCATGCACGGCCGCCTGGAACACCCCATGCACGGCCGCCTGGAACACCCCTTCCTGCATGTCACCCTCACCATCCTCCTCCCTCGTTGCCCCCTCCTCCACTTTGCACCCCTCGTTGCCCCACCCCTCTCCACCCCCTCTGTGTCCACCAGGAGGGTGCTGAAGCCCGATGGGCTCTTCCTCGCTGCCATGCTTGGCGGCGACACCCTCAGGTACTGGGAGGGCTGCACTGGGATGGGATGGGCTGCCTTCGTTGCTGGACTCCGTTAATCATGGCCCGCTGGGTCTGTCCGCGAAAACGGTTTCTCTCTGGAGAACTCGATCTCTCCCTGCATCAGCGCGTCTGTGGATTCTACCAATTGAACGGCCTCGATGAAGGTAGCTGGACGGTTGCTCGATCTCGCACCTCATACTGTATCTCGTATTTCAAGCCGTTGATGTACTGTTCAGCTTCCGACATGTCGTCCACTTGGTCGGCGAGGGCCATAAACGACGCCGTTTAATATAGAACAGAAGCCAGCTGGAATCAGGCACGCAGCTTCATGCGAGCGTTTTCCAAGTCGGATACATGCTCGAAACGCTCTCGTAAGGCTGCGCCCCACTCCTTCCACCTGCGAATCGTGATTACACTGAAATTTGATAATGCCCTTCGTTTTTTTTAGGTTAGGGCCCCGTCTGCCGCATGTGTCCACTTGTCGGGGTCCCTGTGTCCAATGTTCGGCGCCACCAATCGAGTGCTGGGCCTCGCAGAAGCGATACCGCGTATTTAATATGCGTGGTTTCGTCGTTAACGTTCGCTGTAGTGACGGAAATTTAACGCCAAAGAGCCACCCCTTCACCGTCCTTCTCGTTGCTCTCTCCTTCTCGCCTTCAGGCACCTCTTTTTTTTTTTTTCACATTCCGGACACTCCTTGCCTCTCTCCCTCCGTGCAACACTCTTTGCCCGCTGCACTTGTTGCCACATTTCCCTTGATCACTCTCCGTTGTTCCATTTTCTGGCATGTGCTTTCCGACATAGTATGGAATCTCACAATATGGTATTGTATGTCATGTTGCGCGCATGATGGCATGTGCATGTTGACATGGCATGTGCATGGTGGCATGTGCATGATGGCATGTGCATGTTGATATGGCATGTGCATGGTGGCATGTGGATGATGGCATGTGCATGTTGATATGGCATGTGCATGGTGGCATGTGCATGTTGACATGGCATGTGCATGATGGCATGTGCATGATGGCATGTGCATGTTGACATGGCATGTGCATGGTGGCATGTGCATGTGGCCCCAGGGAGCTGCGCATAGCATGCACGTTGGCGCACATGGAGAGGCAGGGCGGTGTGGCAGCTCGAGTGGCCCCCATGGCTCAGGTGGGGTGGGGCAGGTCAGATGGGTGGGCTGTGAGATAACAAGCCCCTCTCATGGTGATGTGGAAGAACATAGCTGCCATGCTGCATGCGGTACCAGCATGACTATGTGCCATCGCACATATCATCTCAACCATTGCACTCTTGTGCCCAACAGTCCTCTTCCCTCCCCCTCCCCTTTTTCCAGGTGCGAGATGCGGGCAATCTGCTGACGAGGGCCGGCTTTGCACTGCCCACCGTGGATGTCGACGAATTCCCCGTCGCCTACCCCTCAGGTGCTCTCGCCTACCCCTCAGGTGCTCTTTCCTACCCATCAACTGCATTCCAACTGTCATTGCAAACCGTTTTGATGCTTATCAACCAGGAGCCCTATTGCTTATGAGTGAACCGCTTGGTTGGTGATGAGTGAGTGGTGTGGCATCGTCCATGTTTGCACGTGCAGCGGTGCAGGTGGTGCAGCACCTGCGCTGGCTGGGTGAGACCGACTGCACTCTGCACCACACCCAGGTGCCACCACACTGCCATGCTGCCATGCTGCCATGCTGCCATGCTGCCATGCTGTGCTGCACCACTTTTATCTCATTTGCCTCTGCCATTCTGCCTGGCTTCCCGTTTGAATTTCCGTCCCCACCTGTCCCCTCCATTCCTCCCACAATGTCATCATCCTCCTGCCTCACCACTATCTCCTCTAAGCTGTCTCGCCTCTGCCCTTCCCTCAGTCCGTCCCCTTCCCATTCTCTCCTTTCCTTCTCACTCACTCCCCTCGTTTCCCCCCCGCCCATCCGCTCAGCCACTGCCGCGTGACACGGCACTGGCAGCAGCGGCCATCTACGCGCACATGTTCCCTGCACGCCCACCCTCCTCCTCGCAACCTCATTCGCCACCAGACCTTGCTCCTGGAGCAGAGGCGAGGGGGAAAGAAGCGAGAGGGAGGGATGAAGATGGTGTTGTCGCTACCTTTCAGGTACTCTGCTCCCTCACCTTCACACTGCCTCATCTCACTTTCACACTGCCGCATCTCACCTTCACAGTGCCTCATCTCGCCTTCACACTTCCTTGTCGTTCCTTTACCCATGGCACAACACCCATCCATGTGCCTTTGTTTTTTGTGCTGTTGGTCGTTCAGAATCCTCACCAGCCCCATCTCGCCCTCCCACCAGCTGCCTCCCCCCGCCCCATTCTCCCTTCACAGCAAGCATGTCTTCCCTCCAAGCTCATGCTCCAAGGGCGCAACTATCAGCCCTCCCCTCCCTCCTCCCCCCCCCTCCCCCCCCCCCCCCCCCCCCCCCCCCCCCCCCCCCCCCCCAATGTCTCGTGCAGGTGATCTTCATGGCGGGGTGGGCGCCCCACGAGTCGCAGCAGAGGGCTCGCCCTCGCGGCTCTGCGGCCATGTCGCTGCATGATCTGCACCACTCCCTGCCCGCCAAGCCGTGACACTACATCCTCCTGCTGACGCCCTCCCACCGCACTATCAGTTACTAACTAGTTAGGGTAGAGAGAATAGTGGATGATGGACTAGGCGAGGAAGTCGGGTACAAGGAGAGTGTCGACAAGTTTGGTGTACCCCCTTAGATGTACCCCACTACAGCATATCTAAAACTACAAACAGGTACCTTAGTTTGACACAACGCACCGCACCGCACTGCACCACACCGTTTCGCTGCTGAAGAGTTCTCTTACGGAGTGAACTTGCCATGTGATGCGCCTACCGGTATATTAAGGGTAGAACGGTATTATAGTTTGACCTTATTGGGCTGAGTTCAAGGCCTTGAATCTGGACTAGGGTTTCGGGTTTAGACTGCACCCCCTAATTTGACTTTTTATATCTAAAGCGCATCTGCATTACTTTACAGGGGATTTCGGTTCTTCTGCCGCATAAGGGATAAAGATGAAAGCAACGCAATAAATGCCATGTTAGTGTTTTGACATATAAACATAGGCAATGCAGACTTCTCACGCTTTCCTAACTGCATTGGTGCGAAGAGAACCCTCATCCCCATGGAAGCGGCAATCGGGTTAGACCTAGAGAGAAGAATTAAAATCATGATCTGGGAGCTCTGCTCTCTCCCCGACCTCACCAAAGCGCCTTCACAAGCCTGGGATGGCCCCATTGGTCGCCGCCCTGCCTCTGCCGTCCACATCCATGCCCCCTTGCCCCTCGCCCTCTTGCCCCTCGCCTTCTCGCCCCCCGCTCCCTGCCCCACTGCTCCTCGCTGCTGCAGCCTCCTCCAGCCGTTGCCACGTGGCGGCGCGCAGCTCCTCCACGTCAGCAGCACGGGCCTCGTCTTCCAGGAAGTGGCGCTGGCAGTCATCGTAGAGCTGCTGGTCCATCTCGAGAAACATCTTGCGCACGTTGATGGTCAGCCCGTTCACCGCCTGCCACGCCATGCACCATGGTCACCGGTGGGGGAGGACAGGTGTGGAGGAGAGGGACGCGGGTAGGAGAGTGGGTGAGCATGCGCACACAAGGGATGGGGAGCATGTAGGAGTGGCATGTAGGGTTGGGGGAGGAGTGGAAAGCAGGCATAGCGTGCAGCGAGTAGGAGTTAAATGCTTGGGGACCTTGAGGGAGCAGCGTGGGACAGGCGTATGAGAGGCGAGGCGGGGCGCACAAGAAAGACAGCGTGGCGTCACAAGAGACCAACCAGGCAATGAACAGGTGATGGACGCATTCTGGACAACAGGGCCAAGGCCAGCTCAAAGGGGGGATGAACGTATATCTATGCTACTCCCCACTCGCTCATGCACTTGTTCCCCACAAAACACCCTCTCCCTCCTCTTCGGCCTTCTCCTCCCTCTCCTTGACAATTTGCCATCTTTACTACATCCGCCCCTCTCCCTCCCTCTGTTCCACCCTCCCCACAGCTACCACTCCCAATGCTTCCTCCCTCCTCCCATCTCCCTCTCCCTCATCCGAACCTCCTACCTCTCCTACCATCCACCTGCCTGCTCTCATCCACCGAGGCCATTCCCTGAACTGTTTAACCTCGTATTTGCCACGTACCATGTCATTCACCCTCTCTGTCTTCCTCTTCCTCACTCGCTCCCTGGGTTGGAATATATGGCGTTTAGCGTATATACGCATTTAGCGTATATACGCATCGTATCGTATATATGCTAGCGTGTATACACGACACGCTAACCGTCAGATTAGGCGTACGATTTTCTGGGCAGGAAAAGATTTTTTTCTGGGCAGGGTGAAAAAAGCCTCGTGCTCAGCGTCGGGAAGGGATCCCCTTTTCTCTCTAAGACTTTCCTAGCATTATTGTGAGTCTGAACGGTGGGTGGGGTGGGAAGTGGAGTAGACATCATCCTTCGAAGGAAAAGTAGGTATTGGACAGAGCTCTCCTGAGAGCGGGAGCGTAAGTAGAAATGACAAGTGCAGTTGGGCTAGCTGGAGCGTGAGTAGCGTGAGTGGAGTTTGTTGGGGGGGAGTTTTTGACAGGTTGGAGTTTGTAGATGGAATGATTTCCAATGCGGTACTAATCGACATTGCAAATCACGTGACTAAAACCTTTCAAGGCGCTTCCCTAGACTGCCGAAATGCATTTCGACTTGGCAAAATGCTCACAAGGAGATTCCGCATCTTTACATATACACAGTTTTTCCCCGGGCAGCCCCTAAAACTTTCTGACTGCGTAAAGCATATTAGCTAGTGTATAGCGCATGCACGCTATACACTTTAGGGTCCGAGCGTTTATTCCAACATAGCTCGTTCCGCTCCTACTGTCTGCCCTGTTCTCCCAGTCCCCGGACACCTCTTCATTCATCTCCTCATCTTCTTTCACCTCTCTACTCTTTATCTCTCCTCCTGCCTCTCTCTATGTTTTCATCTCTGTTCTTCTCCCCTCTCTTGCCCCGCTCCTCTCTCTTCTCCATACTCCCCGCCTCTCTCCTCTTTACCACTTAGCTCATTTCATTGCTAACTCTCCCCTCCCTCTCCCCTTTCCTAGCCCTTCTCCCCACTCCCAAAGACAGTGCATCCCCCTCATCTCCCCTCCCATCTCTCTATCCTCTCACTCACTTACCTCCTTGCTCTCCCCTATCCTCTTCCCTCTCCCTTCTCTCCTCTCTTCCCTCTCATCTCTCCTCACTTACACCTCCTCTATCCTCTCTCTCTTTTCCTTTCCCACCTCTGTCTCCTCTCACCACTCCTTTCCTCTCATATCTCCACTGTATCCCCTCTCTCCTCTCATCCTTGCTCCTTCTTCTCATCTCTTTCCTGACTCATCTCCTGTCCCACCCCTCACTTCTTTCCTATCGCGACTTTCCTCTCTGCTCTCCCCTTCCCCTATCTCCTGCCTCGACTTTCCTCTCCTTCATTCCCCTCCTGTCTCCTGTCTCCTCTCTCCTCTCTCTCTCCTCTCTCCTCTCTTCTCTCTACTCTCTTTCCCTTCCCTCCTCTCTCTCCTACCTTTTACCCTCGCTCCTTCCCTTTCTCACTCTCCTCACTACTCTCTCTCGTCTCTCCTCTTGCTGACCTCCATTCCTTTCCACTCTCCTCGCTGCACTCTCCTCTCTCCTCGCTCCTCCCTTTTGCTTCCCTTCCGTCTCATTTCTCTCCTCATCTCTCCTTTCCTAACCAACCCCCTCTCCTCTCTCAGCTTTCTGATCTCTTCCCTCCTCTCTGTCGTCTCTCCTTCGCTCCTTCCCATCCTTTCTTATCGAATTTCTCTCCTTTTAAAACTCTCTCCTGTCTCCCTTCTCCTCTTTGATCTAATCTCTCTCATCTAGCTCTCCTCTCTCCTTTCTCTCTCCACTGCTCTCTCCACTCTCTCCTCCCTGTCTTCCTCTCTTCCCTCTATCCTCTCTCTCGTCTCTCTCCTCTTTCTCCTCTCTCTCTTTTCTCTCTCTTCTCTATCTTCTCTCCCCCTTAGCTCCGTTCGTCCCTCCCACTCCTCTCTCCTCCACCGGCTTTCTCCTCCACCGGCTTTCTCCTCTCTCCTCTTTCTCCTCTCTCTCTTCTCTCTCTCTTCTCTATCTTCTCTCTCTTCTCTATCTTCTCTCCCCCTTAGCTCCGTTCGTCCCTCCCACTCATGTCTCTCCCTCCTTCTCTCAATACCACTCGCACTCCTCTCTTGCCAAGATCTCGCTCTCCATTCTCTCCCTGCCACTCACCCTCCTCCCCCTCCGACCACTTACTCTACTGCAAACCGCCCTCTTTCATCATACCACTCTCAGCGTCTTCTCACGCCCTCCACCTCCTCCCTCCTCCCAAATCCAGCGTCACACTGCCCTGTTCCGCCACCCCCCCCCCTGTCCTCGCCACTGCTCCATCCCCCCTTGTGCTGCTCACACCATCAGGCCAGGTTGAAAGACCCACGAAACCATCACCTGAGCTTGACCTCTGTTGCGCTGTTTCACCTGCACCGCACACAACCGTGCTACCACGCCCTCACCATGGCCGCACCACAGCTTTTGCGGCTCTCTCCTGTCCGCTTCCACCCCCTGCCTGTGTGCCTGCACTGCTGCCCACGCTGTACCTGGTTGCACTGGTTCCTGCCCGCGCTACAGCCCCACCATGCCATGCACGCCCACATGCCATGCCATGCCGCTATACCTGGTTCCAGTGGGTGCGGGCGTTGCGTTCGAGGGCGGGGAAGACGAGCGGCAGGATGGCGGCGCGGTGCTGAGCGACGAGAGTGACGATGTAGTCGTTGTTCCACAGGAACAGCGCGCGCTCCGCCACCTGTGGGCCACGGGGACAAGTGAAGGTGGGATGGGCCACCGCATACGGGGCATACAGGGCAGGGCAGCGACATATGAGAGCATGCGTTCTCGCGCGTGCAGTGCAGTGCAGGTGAGGCAGCAGTGGCGCGGCAGTGTGCGCGTGGGTCCACTCCACTCCAGCGGGACAGGGCAGCTCTGGCAGGTGGGCCACCATGGGGGAGTGGAAGGAGGGAGCAAGGAGGGGAAGCACGGCAGCACTGCGCGTGCCATGCCATGCCATGCCATGCCATGCCATGCCACATGGCACAGACAGGAGCGATTCAAGAGGCCACCCACCCAGTGGCACAGGCGGTGCTGCAAGCAGAGCAGGCGAGGCATTCCCTTGTGTGCGAGCAGCATCTCACGATTAGAGGCACGGAAATCACCTCTGAGTCGCCACTGCTCCATCCACCTCTCTCCACGCTCTTGCCCTCTTCGCTATCTCCCCCACTCCACACTCCCCCAGTCTTCTCAATCTCTCCACCCCTCACTCTTCACATTCCCCCCCTCATTTTTTCAACCTCACCCCTTCCTCTCCCCCCTCTCATTACTCTCCCCTCCCCTCTTCTCCCCCAGCGAGGGACACTCGTTCATCATTACCCCTCTTTTCACCACCCACCCACCCAAACCAAACCCACCCCACCCCACAGCACAGCACAGCACAGCACGGCAGAGCAGGGCAGGGCACCTGGAAGTGCGAGGAGCTGAGGCAGCGAGCGAGCTGGAGGAAGAGCGGGTGGAGGAGGGCGTGGAACTCGGGCGGCTGGGTCAGCTCCAGCACCTCCTCCAACTCGCCCAGGAACAGCACCTCCTTCCCACTGTTCGTCACCGGCCAGAACCGCAGCAGACCGCGCACCACCACGTCAGCCAGGCGCGGGTCCTTTTCGACGAACTGGGTGACGCAGTAGGCGAGCTGCTGGTGGTACATGGCAACGCACGAGGGCTTGTGCAGCGGGATGAGCGCGCGCACGAGGAAGAGCTTGTGCTCGTCCTTGAGCGGCAGCGCGAAGCCGTTGATGATGGAGCCCAGGATCTCCAGCAGTTCCGCCACGCCCCTGTGGCGCTGGTCCTCGTAGATGAAGCGGAAGAAGATGGCTTTGATGGCGCGGCGGATGAACGGCCGGTGCACCATGAACTTGCCGTAGATGCGGTGCACGATGGTCTTCACGTAGTCGCGCTCGCGCGGGTCCTGCGAGTCAAACAGCGCCAGCAGGCGCAGGATGAAGCGCTGGTCGATGTAGCGCTTGGCCACCTTGGCGTCCGTGTCCTGAGACACCACGTACCGCAGCAGCACCTCGTACACCATCTGCAGGTGCGGCCACGCCGCCTCCATCGTCGCCTCCTCCTCCTCCGCCTCCAATGACTCCGCGCCCGCCATCTCGTGCGCGGAGGGCGGCAGGGGGCGGAAGAGGTTGGCTTCGAGCATGCGCGTGAGGCTGGTGAAGGCGGCGTCGGTGAACCGGCCCGTGCCCGCGTTCACGGCGTCCACCACCTCCAGCAGCGCCTGCCGCTTCACCTCCTTCTCCCTCACGTGCGCCATGGGGTCGCTGAAGTCCACCACGTGCGCGCACAGCTGCACCTTGCGGATGAACAGCGCCTGCTTCTCCGCCGCCGCCACGTCGCGCAACGACGGCAGCGGCTCCGCGAACGGCGACGCGTCCGCGGGGGCGATCACCTCGCTCGGGTCGCGCAGGTGGGCAGCGCCGTCAACCGCGTCGGCGGGTGCGGGTTGGGCTCCAGCTGGCGTTTGACCAGGGACAGCCTTGCCGCCATTCGCTGCGCCTGCGCCTTTACCCGACCCTGCCCGTGCCGCGCCCGCTGGGGCGGCCGCCGCCGCTGCATTGCCCGCGTCGTGCGACGCATCTGCCTTTCCCTGCTTTTTCCGCCCCCCTACCAAAGTCTTCTTTACCGACTGAAGCATGCTCGCCCCCGACTTTAGCGCGAAACCCTAAGCTACGACTTACGGGCTCCGCGCTAAAGGAGAATAGTGCCCTATCGACGGTACTTGATAACTACCGAAGAGCCATTTATTGACATCTCGGAAAAACAAATATATTAACGCTTTATCGTTGGCAGAGAAACTCCAAAAAACGACTACGCCTGAGAGGGACAGAATCGCTATATTTTAGGAGTGATGAGAGGACACGAGCAGTTCATAGCGCAAGCGTCGGGAGCATCTGAAGTATGGCGTGCTCGACATGGCGAGGGCAGGCAGCGAGCGAGTGATAGCGAAAGAGCAAGGCAGGATTGGATTGTATCAATCGAGCGATGCGATAAGGTCTCTACACCTTGATAAATCTCGTTAGCAGCTACTGATACGGCAAGGGAATGCATTTATATACAATCTGTGGTGACTACCTAAAGCCACCAAGCGGACATTCAAACCATGTGCTCAAAGTTCCCACCACCAAGCCTCCCCCAAAATTACCATATTGCTCCTAAAAGCTGAAAAAAACATCAACCTCTTGATTTGATATGGTTTGCGTGACTGACACTAACACATATCCAGTTGAATAAATTATTGAACGTGGCTAGCTGGCAAGTTACAAATCCATTGACCACGGCAGTATGAGGTGAAGTTATTTGTTTGTTTACAGTAACGCTTCAAGATGCTTCTTGTTTGAAGTGGAAAGATGCAGAAAAGGGTAAGGTATCAGTAGTCGGTGCCTTACCTTAGCGGATATAGGTACTCTGTTATGGACCACCATTCTTGAAATTCTTTGCATACAGACAATTAGTGCACATGTAAGGTGGTGATAGGAGGATGTGGGAGGAAATAAAAAAATTCACGAGGTGGGAGGATGGCAGGAGTGAGGCGGGGAAGAGGAGAGGAGAGTGGAGAAAAGGGGGTGGTAAGAGAGAAAGAGGGCTGGGGAAATGAAGGGAAATGAAGGGAAGCGGCAGAAAAAAGGGAGGCACTGATGCTGATAAGGGAGGTCAGGGGAAGAAATGGTTGGAGCGGTAGCAGTCAAGAGAGGAAGGGAAACGAAGGGAAGACATGGGTGGAGGAAGTAGCAGAGAGGAATGAAAGAAGATGGAGAAGCTGGATATGAAGGTGAAAAGGGATGTGTGTGCGTGTGCGTGTGCGTGTGCGTGTGCGTGTGCGTGCGCGCGCGCGCGCGCGCGTGTGTGTGTGTGTGTGTGTGTGTGTGTGTGTGTGCATGTGTGTGTGTGTGTGTGTGTGTGTGTGTGCGTGTGAGTGAGGGAGTGAGGGAGGGGGAGAGTGGGGGGGGGGGGAGAGCGAGACAAAGACGGAGGAGCGGAGAGATAAAGGGAATGGTGCGAGTAAAATGACGGAGGAATCACAGCGATTGTACTCGGAGTTCGAGCGAACTCGATTGACAGAGCAGCCAGCAAAAGCAACAGAGGCGGAACCCTAAATCATCTCATACAAGGAGACAATGTACAAGGCCGGTCTCTTTTATACTTTCAACGCAAATGGTGAAGGATGCAGAATGATCGGGTAAACTGCCGAGACTAACGACGCCGTGCTCTCCCGCAATGTCTCGCGACCCACCATGCACATCTCGCTACTCGTGAAAAAAGCCATTCTCATCGCTAAGGTTCGCCCTACCCCTGCTCGATCTACTGCTCCTCCTCCTCCTGCATTCGTCGCTTCGCCTCGTCCCGCGCCCACCCGTGCAGGCTCGTGTCGGGCTTCGCCGTGAGGCCCACCGTGAGGATCACAGCGGCGGCCCCCATTGTCAGATAGTACGGCGCCTCCCAGTCCTCCCACGCGCGCGCCTGCCCCGCGGGCGGCGGAAGCTCCCCGAAGAGGTGCCCCCCCGCGTCCTTGTGCCCCGGCCCCCACCAGCTGCCGCCGCCACCTCCGCCGCGCGGACGGAGAGCACGGCGCACGGAGGAAACTGCGGCGGATCGCGCCGTGGAAAAGGACATGGTTAGTTGAGAGAAGGTAAGGGAGGCGTAATGGATGGTGGGCAATGATCGATGGGGCGTGAAGCAATCACGGCGTGGGAGACGGTAAGGCGGGAGTGCGAATGGTGAGGTGTGTTGGAGATGTCAGGAAGTGTTTCTATTCCCGTATTGGTGTGAGTGTCAGGTGGTAAATAGGCTAGGTGTAATGAATTACACTTCATTAATCTAGAGGCTGCTCTTAGCGAGGACAGCCCCAGCACTTTGGGAAAATATGCCACAAAGTACTAACATGGGACTTGATAACGTGATTGGTAAAAAAATAACGCGTACGGTCACTGTATCGGGTTTCCTGACGGGTTTGGTAAGTGGGGTCACGGATTCATTTACTAAGACCATGTAAAAAATCACGCGAATGGTCACACATGTAACTCCCGCCAAAATTGATTGAAACTCTACAATATTCCCGCTCGCGCCCAATCGATTAGTCAACTTCTGAAAAAAAAAATGAAAACCCAATTAGAATTGGATGTGGTTTGGGAACGGATCAACCCTAAACACATGGCGAATTGTGTTTAGGGTTGATTCATCCGAAAATGCATCCAGGCTCATTTTGGGTATTATCTTTAGGGCGGGAGTTTCATCTGTGACCATTCGCGTTAGTTTTTCCCAGTTGATTGTGACTGATTCCGTGAAACGTTTTATCAAACACGTGAAAACACCCTTTGCAGTGACCGTACCTGTTATTTTTTTTACCAAAAATATTATCGAGACCCTTGTTGATTACGTGTGGCATATTTTCCCCAGCACCTTCGGATCAGTGTGGCTCAGCCTACACCAGTTCCGAGTCGCCCCGCACTGATCGCAACACTTCCAGACCTTGCACGTCACGAGGTTCTCGCCTAGCTAGTTTTTGCCCTCGCTTTCTTCATTGTTTCTCAATTCTGTATTCACTGTCTTTTTATAAAGTCTTAAACGCACTCTGTTTAGTACAACTCATAACACTTGGTATCACAGCTACTTTCCTAGCTCACCCACTTTGTACAGTGTAATACCCCTCGGGTGGAGGGGGGGAGGAAAGGATGACTTGGGGTTCAGGAGCTGCTGCGCACTAGCTGGCCAGGAGAACGGGTAGAGTTGCTCCTAGCGGCCTGAATTTTACAGACGTTTCTTTGGCAGCGACGGATCCTTGCCCTCCACGGTCGAGATTGACCGTGGCCTCCCCAACTCCCTGGTCGCGGACATCAATGGCTGTCGTCCAAGGCCTCAGATGTCGGAGAAAAAAGGCTGATTTAGTGTCTGGAGGCTGATTTCACAGACATGTGGAAGAGATGTTGGCTGAAAATTCAGTTTTTTTTTTTTTTACTAGTTGGCTGATGATTCAGTTTTTTTTTTTTTTTTTTTTTTTTTTTTTTTTTTTTTTTTTTTTTTTTTTTTTTTAACGTGTGGCTGATTTTCCAGCGTTTTTTTACAAGTGTAGTCTGATTGATCAGACTTGTAACGCGAGTGTAGGCTGAAATCACGCCAGTACAGATTCGTGCTGGAGCCGTGAGATTCGGCTGTCCAGGAACAACCACCGTCAATCACGCTAATGTGGCCATGTACAGCCCCGACGCGGCGGGAAAACGAATTTCTCCGTCGCGTCGGTTGCTTCGTTGTCACCGACAGAATGCTGTAATTGATGTGATTGGTTGTTTAACCAATCACATCCCTTATGGGCCAATCACCCACCACCAGTGCAGCACAGCAAAGCACTGCACTCACTCACGACAAGACACCCACCTCACCCCATCTCACCCATCCCGAGCCTGCATCCAAGTGCGTGCGTGGTGCCCCCACGTCGCACCGCGTTGCAGTTGGGTGGTGAGAAGGCGAGGGCCTTCTTTTATGGCTCACTCTTGATGACCACACCGTACCCACCCACCAGGCGAGCTGCACTGTCAATCCCCGCCTCGATCCCTGTTTTTCTCAAATCCTAGCTAGCAATTTTGGAGCTCGGCACGCTCTCCCCTTTCAGCCATGGCCGGCCTTGCAGAAGGCCTGGATTGCGATGATGATGCAGCCATGGATAGCTCCGATCGTGAAATCGACGGACTAGAGGAAGCCACGACGGGGCTTGACATGCTCCTGCGCTCGCTAGGCCCTGGTCTCCTCGCTACTAGGCCTCCTAAAGCAAAGCCTGCTCCAGTCGAGAGGGTGAACCGCGACCACTGGGCATGGTCTTGACTCACCCGCCACTGGGCATGGTTTTGACTCACCCGCCACTGGGCATGGTCTTGCCTCACCCGCCACTGGGCATGGTCTTGCCTCACCCGCCACTGGGCATGGTCTTGCCTCACCCGCCACTGGGCATGGTCTTGCCTCACCCGCCACTGGGCATGGTCTTGCCTCACCCGCCACTGGGCATGGTCTTGCCTCACCCGCCACTGGGCATGGTCTTGCCTCACCCGCCACTGGGCATGGTCTTGCCTCACCCGCCACTGGGCATGGTCTTGCCTCACCCGCCACTGGGCATGGTCTTGCCTCACCCACCATTGGGCATGGTCTTGCCTCACCCGCCACTGGGCATGGTCTTGCCTCACCCGCCACTGGGCATGGTCTTGCCTCACCCGCCACTGGGCATGGTCTTGCCTCATCCGGAGTGAGCCTGCTGCGCCTGCTGCCGTCTCCGACACAGTGGTTGTCGAGTCGCCTGCAACGAAGTCCTCTGCCCCGCTCAACTTCAAACTGAAGCAATCCACGCTGATCTGGGCAAAGCCTTCTTCCAGCACCGCCGTCGAGCAACCTGTCGTGACCAACTCACCCCCTCGTCCATCATTGCTCGTTGACCTTTCGGAGGCTATTAAAGCAGTCTATGAAGACGCTCTTTTGAAGTACAAAATTAAGTGGTCTGAGAGGTTCCCGTGGCTTGTGCTAACCAAATCTAAATCTGTTTTCCCAGCTTTTAAGTGCAGTGTCTGCACCAAGCATGCCGGAGTCAGGGGACGTTGTGGCCGGACAGGGAGCGGGGCCACCGACGTGCAGACGCAGGCGTTTCGCAAGCACGCCGGCACAACGAAACACAAGCTGGTGATGGAGAAGCAGGAGGCCCTGCTGAACGCAGCCTCGAAGCAGCCACGAATCGACCAATATCGAGCCGCCGTCGATGCTGAGAAGAACCGAGTCGTGGCGTTGCTCGACTCCATGTTGTTCGTCAGCTCCTGCAATGCGCCCATAGGAACATGGGTAAAGCTGGTTCAGTACCTCGCGCGCAAGGGTGTTCAAGGCTTCCCTAAGAAGGGATATGGCACCTACTACACAACGTGAGTATAACTCACCCTTGTATTTTGTTGGTGTTTTGTGTTGTTACTACCATAACCTACTGCTAATCTCCTGTCTTCTGTTTCACCGCGGGCAGGTACGGCTTCGGTGAGCTCACGCAGGCCCTTGCTACCTGGCTACAGACAACTCAGCTGGAGCACATCCTGACAAGCCCTTTCATCGGCAAATGCATTGATGAAAGCACGGACCGGCTCAGGGGGAAGCACATGTGTTAAATTGTAATGTGTTATATGTTGGTAGGCTGTAGTGGGGTAGCCAATATGGGGTACAACCCCAACTAGGGTTTGCTACTTGTACCCAACTGTTTCATTCAATGCACCATTCTTGCCTAGTTCTTCTAACATGGTATTCAGAGCAGGAGGTCCCTAGGACCTACCGACCGTTTTTTTTTAAGGGCCCACCACCGCTCGCATGCGGTTACTACGCTACCCCGTGCCCTAGCCTCGTTAGCGCCCTCGTGCGTCCTCGTTAGCGCCCTCGCGCGCCCTCGTTAGCGCCCTCGCGCGCCTCTCGTTAGCGCCCTCGCGCGCCTCTCGTTAGCGCCCTCGCGCGCCCTCGCTAGCGCCCTCGCGCGCCCCTCGCAGCGTCGCCCGCCCGCCGAGCCGCCCTCTCGCAGCGTCGCCCGCCTGCCGCGCTGCCCGTTTTGCAGCCCGCCCGCCGAGCCGCCTGCTCGCAGCGTCGCCCGCCCGCCGCGCTGCCCGCTCGCAGCGTCGCCCGCCCGCCTCGCTGCCCGCTCGCAGTGTCGCCCGCTCGCCCGCTGCCCGCCTCGCAGCCCGCCCGCTCGCTCGCTGCCCGCTCGCAGCGTCGCCCGCCCGCCCGCTGCCCGCTTGCAGCGTCGCCCGCCCGCCCGCTGCCCGCTCGCAGCGTCGCCCGCCCGCCTCGCTGCCCGCTTGCAGCGTCGCCCGCCCGCCCGCTGCCCGCTTGCAGCGTCGCCCGCCCGCCCGCTGCCCGCTTCGCAGCCCGCCCGCCGCGCTGCCCGCTCGCCGCGTCGCCCGCCCGCCCCGCTGCCCGCTTCGCAGCCCGCCCGCCGCACTTCCCGCCTGCAGCACCGCGCTGCCCGCTTCGCAGCCCGCCCCCCGCACTGCCCGCTCGCCGCGTCGCCCGCCCGCCGCGCTTCCCGCCGAGCTACCTACCTGCAGCGCTGCGGCAGCTTCCTTTGCTCAGTCGCACTGTCGCTATGGCTTCCATCCGCGTGCTGTCGTTCGATGCTGAGGGCCGCCCTGTGAAGTTCGCCACTTGGCTGGATGACCTGCAGCTGTTCCTTCTGAGCGATAGCAAGGAGCATGTGTCGCTCTATGATTACGCGTCTGGTGCTGCACCTGCCCCTCCTGCCACAGCTGAGCTTAGTGTTCGTTCCCACTGGCAGACTCGTGACGCAGCTGCTCGCCTAGCCATTCGCAGTCACCTGCCGCTAGCTGAGCTCGAGCATTTTGGCGACTGCAAATCCGCTAAGGCCCTGTACGATGCTGTCGTTGCTCGCTACTCCTCGCCTGCCACAGCCGAGCTTAGCCGCCTCATGCTGCCGTACCTGTTCCCTGAGCTGTCCACCTTTACTACAGTCGCCGATCTTATCACCCACCTTCGCACTAGTGATGCCCGCCTGCGTGCCGCCCTTCCCACTGAGTTCTGCGCTAAGAATCCCCCTCCACTGTACTGGACACTCCACTTCATAGTCACCCGTCTCCCTGACACCCTCAGCTCAGTTCGAGACCACTTCCTTGCTCGCTGTCCCACTGAGCTCACAGTCGCCCTCCTAGAGGAGCACCTGCTAGCGGCCGAAAAGAGCATTGTAGCTGTCGGTGCTGCTCGCGGCGCTCCTCGCACCCCCATCTTTGAGGGGTGTTCTCCCTCTCCCCTCGCTCCCTCCTACGCTACTGCTGCTGCTGTTGACTTCCTTGGTGCTGAGTCTGCTGGCGCTGCTTCTGCTCCTGGTGGGAGGCGCCGCACCGGCAAGGGCAAGGGGGGCAAGGGTGGCGGGGGTGGCGCTGGGGGGGGAGGAGGTGGGGGAGGTGGGGGGGGAGGCGGTGCTGGAGGGAGCGGTGGCGGGAGCACTAGTGGGAGTGGGGTCGGCGGTGGAGGCGGGGGCGGCGGAGGGAGCGGTGGCGGTGGTGGCGGCGGCGGCGGCGGCGGCGGCAGTGGCGGTGGCGGCGGTGGCGGTCGGAGCGGTGGTAGTGGTGGCGGCGGAGGTCGGAGTGGAGGCACTGGCTCGGGCCAGAGCTCCCAGCAGCAGCAGCGTCCCCAGACGACCCAGCAGCTTCGTGAGTGGCTTGCTCAGCGTGGGACGTCGGGGGGCAGTGGCCGCTGTTCCTATGTCATTCGCACAGGTGACCGCAAGGGGCAGACGTGTGGGAGGTTCCACACCCAGTACCGCTGCTTCTCCCGCCTTGACGACGCTTGGCGTGAGGAGATGGGCGAGGATGTTGAGCGCCCCCGCTGGGCTGAGCTGATGAGGGCTGGTGTTGATATCTTTGCTCTTGACTATGATGCTATTCTTGCTGCCATGTATGCATTGACTGTTAGTGCCGAGGGAGACTGTTACTTGTGTGTGCCGCCTGACCCAGGTATAGAGCCCGCTGCCCTGGCCACTAGTGAGTCTGCTCTCTCTGGTATGGTGCCCCCTGTACTTGCTCCCTCCAGTGCTGTCCCCGCTGTTTGCGAGTCTGCTCTCTCAGGTACAGCACCCACAGAGACTGCTCTCTCAGGTACCGCACCGGCTGAGGCCTGTCACACCTTCACCCTTGACTCAGGTGCTTCCCGCTGTTTCTTTCGTGACAGTACTGAGCTCACACCGCTTCCTGCACCGGTCCCAGTCTCCTTGGCTGACCCCTCTGGGGGCCCAGTCCTTGCCCAGTCCACCACTGTGCTCCCTTGTCCGGCGGTTCCGTCTGGCTCGTTGTCGGGTTTCCACCTCCCCTCGTTCTCGACGAACCTGGTGAGCAACGCTGTCATCCAGGATCAGTGGGTTGACACCTTTACCCCTGGAGGACAGCGTGTGGCGATCTGCACGTGCTCCAGGACCGGCCGTCACCTGGCTACGTTCACCCGTCGACCAGGGTCGAGTCTCTACACACTGACCACTGCGTCTCCTCAGGTCGCTGCTGTCGGTCAGGTGTCCGCGTCAGGTCTGGTGGCCCACGCCTGTGAGTGTCGTTCCCTGTCGCACCAGACTCTTCTCTGGCACCACCGCCTGGGTCACCCCTCCTTGCCACGCCTCCATGGCATGCACCGTCGCCACCTTGTGTCTGGTCTTCCCAGGTCCCTCCCTCCCCTCCCTGCCTCGCCTGCGCCGCCTTGCCTTCCTTGCGTCGAGGGGCGGCAGCGCGCCGCTCCTCACTCCTCCTCGTTCCCCCCGACAGAGGCTCCTCTGCAGACCCTCCACCTGGACGTGTGGGGCCCAGCCCGCGTTCGTGGCCAGGGCGGTGAGCGGTACTTTTTGCTGGTTGTTGACGACTACTCGCGTTACACCACGGTCTTCCCCTTGCGCACCAAAGGTGAGGTCCCTGCTGTTCTGATCCCTTGGATCCGCACAGTTCGTCTCCAGCTCCGCCGCCGTTTCCGGACGGATCTTCCTGTCCTGCGTCTGCACTCTGACAGAGGTGGTGAGTTTTCCTCCGATCTCTTGAGGACCTTCTGTCAGGCGGAGGGCATCGAGCAGACCTTCACGCTTCCGGACTCCCCACAGCAGAATGGGGTTGCTGAGCGCCGCATTGGCCTGGTCATGGAGGTCGCTCGTACCTCCTTGGTTCACGCGGCGGCTCCCCATTTTCTGTGGCCGTTTGCTGTCTGGTACGCCGCGCATCAGCTCAACCTCTGGCCCCGTGTCTCCTTGCCGGAGACCTCGCCTACACTGCGTTGGACGGGGGAGGTTGGCGATGCGTCGCGCTTCCGGGTGTGGGGTGCTCGTGCCCTTGTCCGCGATGCGTCCGCGGACAAGCTCTCCTCCCGCACACTTCCCTGTGTCTTCCTGGGCTTTGTCCCTGACGCGCCGGGCTGGCAGTTTTACCACCCCACCTCGCGCCGGGTCTTCGCCTCTCAGGACGTCACCTTTGACGAGTCGGTCCCTTTTTACCGTCTCTTCCCCTACCGCACTGCCCCCCTCCCTCCCCCGCCGCTTTTCCTTGCTCCTGGTCCCCCTCCGGTAGACCCCCTTCCCCCTCAGGGTCCTGCTCCTTCAGGTGTTTCTCAGGTCGACCCTCCTCCCGTCGCTGAGCCTGTCGAGGTCACAGGTGACTCAGGTGCTGCTGCAGGTGGTGCTGCTGGGAGTGCTGAGCCTGGGGGTGCTGAGCCTGCGAGTGCTGGGCCTGGGAGTGCTGGGACTGCGGGTGCTGGAGCTGAGGGTACTGTGCCTGAGAGTTCGGCGCCTGGGGGTGCTGAGCCTGGGGGTGCTGCGACTGGGGGTGCTGAGCCTGGGGGTGCTGAGTCTGGGGGTGCTGAGTCTGGGGGTGCTGCGCCTGAGGGTACTGGGCCTGGGGGTGCTGCTGCTGAGCCTACGGAGCCTCGGGTTGCTGTGTCTGGGGGTGCTCCGGTTCGGGGTGCTGAGCAGTCTCTCACACCGCAGCAGCTTCGTGACTGGTACGTCAGGCGCTTTCGCCGTCCTAGTGACTCGGCTGGAGTTGGGGGTGCTGGAGCTGCTCGTCCTGGGGGTGCTCGTACTGGGGGTACTGGAGCTGCCGGGACTGGTCGTTCTGGGAGCACTACGACTGGAGCTGCTGGAGCTGGGGACTCTGGAGCTGGCGGTACTAGTGGAGTTGGAGCTGCCGACTCTGGGGGTGCTCTTCCTAGCGGTGCTGCGGACCCTGGGGGTGGTGCTGCTGCTGGTGCTGCGGACCCACCTGGTGGAGCTGCTGCTGGAGCTGAGGACCCGAGCGGTGGCGCTGCTGCTGGTGCTGGGGACCCGGACGTTGGAGCTCCTGCTGGTACTGAGGACCCGGCCGCTGGAGTCTCTTCTGCTTCTGGAGACGCTGCGCGGCCGCGGCCGTACTTCGTACCGCTCCTTCAGCAGGTTCTTGGGCAGGCTCCTCCTCCTTGTCCTCCTCCCTCCGTAGGGTGTCTCCCGCCTGTCCAGCCGCAGTCACAGTTACCGCCTACCTCACCTCTCCCTGCTCCCTCTCCTTACACTGGTCCCACAGGAGGTCTTACAGAGCGTCGTGAGCCTGAGTCTCGTCCTGCGTCGCCTGTTCGTGCTGCTCGCACTGGTCGTCGTGTCCGTCGTGAGCGTCCTCCTCCTGTCCCAGGCACTCACTACATGACTCTGCGTCCCTCTACTGCTCCTCAGCGTGTCCCTCTACCGTCTCCTCCTGCGTCCTCTTTGCCTGACGTTTCGGACCCTGAGTCTGACCGGTATCGTGCTGAGCACCCTACTGTCACGCGTCTCCTAGCTACTGTTGTCACTGACCCTACCTTTGAGTCCTCGGCTGCGTCTGCTCTAGTCGCTGAGTTGGTTGACTTTGCTGCTGCCTGTCGTCTAGACTACGCTGCTAGTCTTGTTGCTGAGTCTGCGTCTGCGTCTGTCTGTCCTCCGTCCGTCGGGGGTGAGTGTGCTCTTGGCACGGACGTCCTTGAGGACAGGCAGGAGGACTTTGACTCTCTCGCGGCTGCTGTACCTCATCTCGTGGCCTGGTTGCTTGCCCCTGAGGGAGACCCGGATGCACTAGACATCCCCACTCCGCGCACTTACGCAGAGGCGATCTCGGGTCCCTACTCCTCTCAGTGGCAGACAGCCATGGACGCAGAGATGGCATCCTGGAAGTCCACAGGCACCTACGTCGACGAGGTTCCCCCCCCTGGGGCGAACATCGTCGATGGCATGTGGATTTTCAGGGTGAAGCGGCCGCCAGGTTCTCCGCCTGTCTTCAAGGCTCGTTACGTTGCTAGAGGCTTCAGTCAGCGTCAGGGGGTCGACTTCTTCCAGACCTTCTCCCCCACCCCGAAGATGACCACTCTTCGGGTTCTGCTGCACGTTGCTGCTCAGCGTGACTACGAGCTTCACTCTCTTGACTTCAGCACAGCGTTCCTGCAGGGCAGCCTGCACGAGGAGATCTGGCTGCGCCGCCCACCTGGCTTTACTGGGTCGTTTCCTCCTGGTACCCAGTGGAGCCTCCGCCGGCCAGTCTACGGTCTCCGCCAGGCGCCACGTGAGTGGCACGACACACTGAGGACTACACTTGCGGCTCTTGGGTTCGCGCCGTCTACTGCTGACCCGTCGCTGTTTCTGCGCACAGACACGTCGCTGCCGCCGTTCTACATTCTCGTGTACGTCGATGACTTGGTCTTTGCTACTGCTGACACTGAGGCACTCGCTCGTGTGAAGTCGGAGCTGCAGAAGAGACACACCTGCACTGACCTGGGTGAGCTGCGTAGCTACCTTGGCTTGCAGATCACCCGGGACAGAGCTCGCCGCACCATCACCCTGACTCAGTCACACATGGTGCAACAGGTCCTTCAGCGCTTCGGCTTCCAGTTCTCCTCACCACAGGCCACACCTCTGGCTACCAGCCACTCGCTCTCAGCTCCACCTTCGGACGAGTCCGTAGAGCCGAGTGGCCCGTACCCAGAGCTTGTAGGCTGCCTCATGTACCTGATGACTTGCACGCGACCTGACCTCGCGTACCCTCTTAGCATCCTTGCTCGTTACGTTGCACCTGGGAGACACAGGCGAGAGCACTGGGAGGCTGCTAAGAGGGTGCTGCGTTACTTGTGCAGTACATCAGGCATGGGGCTGGTGCTTGGAGGACACGACAGAGTTGTCCTCACTGGTCACTCGGACGCTTCTTGGGTGGACGACCTGGCTACGCAGCGGTCGTCACAGGGTTACACCTTCAGCCTTGGCTCTGGTTCTGTCTCGTGGCGGTCCACCCGCTCATCCTGTGTTCTCGGCTCTAGTTGTGAGGCTGAGATCTACGCCACAGCCATGGCTGCACAGGAGTTACGCTGGCTCACCTACCTGCTGACTGACTTGGGAGAGCGGCCTAGTTCTCCTCCAGTTCTGTACGGTGACAACAAGGCGGCTCTTGCCTTGTGTCAGGAGCACAGACTGGAGCACAGGACGAAGCACATTGCTCTTCGCTACTTTCTTGCTCGAGAGCTTCAGCAGCGCGGTCAGCTTCGGCTTGTGTACGTGGACTCGAAGGCCAACACTGCTGATATCTTCACCAAGGCGCTCCCGCCTAGTGATCATCAGCGGCACTGTACTTCTTTAGGCCTTGTGTCCACATTTCCTCACTTGCTCACTGCTTGACATTCTTTGTACTGTACTTTATATATATCTTGTTGCTTGCTTGCTAGGTTTTGATCACTGTGTTGCTTGTGTTGTACTATATCTAGCACTGCATGTGAACTGGCCTTGTGGCCTTTGCTTGTGCTCGGAGTGTGGTGACGTTGTGATCCACCCTGGGCTTGCGTTGCTTTGCTGGACTGGTCTTGTGACCCCTTGTTCTCCCCCACTTTGCCTATGGGGGTGTGTTAAATTGTAATGTGTTATATGTTGGTAGGCTGTAGTGGGGTAGCCAATATGGGGTACAACCCCAACTAGGGTTTGCTACTTGTACCCAACTGTTTCATTCAATGCACCATTCTTGCCTAGTTCTTCTAACAACATGATCCTGTACGCCTCGTTCATCCGCGACAACGTCCTCGTGACCGAGTTTATGCAGCTGATCACGGTGGAAAAGGCGGACGCTTCATCTCTTCTGAGCGTCCTGCTTTCCCACTTGCAGGCCGTCGGTGTCGACCTGCAGAGGATTTCCGGCACTAGCACCGACGGCGCAAGAGTGATGATGGGGACTAAGGCCGGACTGGTTGTCCGACTGCGACAGAAAATCCCGCACCTTGTCTCCGTTCACTGCATCGCCCACAGGTTAGTGAGCTCTGCGGCTTTGTTTCCTGCCCGTTTCCACGGTCTGTTTAGGAGGTTTCTAATTTCACCTGTGTGATGTGTTCCACTTGCAGGGAAGCACTTGCAGCGAAGGATGCGGCAGAGGAGCTTCCCGTCTTCAACATGGTCGACGATCTCATCCGGGCTGTGGCCGATTTGCTTGGTCGGTCGGGACCGCGCCACGCACGGTTCATGGACCTGCAGGAGGTCATCACCGAAACAAGCCTTGAAGTGCAAGGCATCCACTCCGTTCGGTGGCTGTCACGGGGGGATGCCGTCCGTCGCCTGGTCGCTGTCTTGCCGACAGTGATTGTGCTGCTGAAGGAGCTTAACAGCAAGATGCTCGCGCTGGCAAGCTCCTATCATTTTCACTTCTTCCTTTACTTCCTGGCTGATGTGCTTGAGTAGCTGAACATCTTGAACAAGACCTTCCAGCAGAGACAGGTGAGGTGGTGCGATTATAACTGTGTACGTATCCCTATTTCGGCCGCTACTAACTTTGTCACTGTATGCCTTTGTCTGTCCAGCTCGATCTTGTGTCTTTGCATGCGCAGATCAAGCGGACCACGCGTCACATCGAGAGCCGCTACGTGGACTGCGGCGATGACTTCGGAGGTGGCAGCAGCCAGTGGCTGTCACCTTTCCTGGAGCGCCACGGCCCGGGGTGTAGCCGCGAATTGAATGTGGAAGGTGTCGACAGCGACGGCCGGCCATCTACAGTCAGGTTCACCGTTCACGATGAGCCCGTGGACTCGTACAGCGGCCCGGAGGACCATGCCGGCTGCATCCAGTTGTGCACCGAGTTCGCGGAGCGGATCGTGGCGAACCTGGAGGGAAGGCTCGGTGATCTCGACTTGCTTTCAGGAGTCCGCCTCTTCACTCCTGATGCATGACCACATAGCAAGTCTGAGTGGAATGTGTTATGTGATGCAACCATATGCATTCACGTCTGTTTGCCTCCCATCATGTGTTCTTGTGTTGCATGCGTGGTATGAGCGTGTGCAAGAATTTGTGTTTTTGCGCGGTTTGGATTTCCTGAGTGTGTGCGAATGTTATTTGGCCTGAGCAGATATCTGAAGTGACTCATCTGCTCGAGAGCTTTCCGACGAGCCAAGAATCGTCGCGATCGGAGCAAGAACAAGAAAGTTACGGACATTGGAGTTCGTATGCTTTCTGTACTTTGGTTGCGGCGACTTTGGGAAGTTGTGAGAGTGACTCAATATGGGGTACAGACTTTTGGGGTTGGGACATTCGAACCCATCACTGTAGATTGCTGCCATGTGGTTGGGAGATGCCAAACCAGGTTGGCAAGTGTGGCCAAGTGGGTTGAGGTGGATGGCATGAGTTGGGAAAGTGACAAATGTGAAAGTGGGGTTGCCTATGGAGAAGGGAATTGTGTGGCATGGGGTTTCCTTGGTTGGGGACTCCCTTGGGACCTTCCCTCTCGTCCTCCTCATCCCCTCCTACCTGGTTTAGTGCTACTCTAACTCTTGTGTGTGCAACTCTTGTGAACTTGTGAAACTATTGTGATTGTGTTAAAGTATCTATGTGGCAGCATACCCCCTAGTGCGCCGAAAAGCATAACTCGAGATATACTCCATCTTTTGAGGTGATTCAAATTGGGAATGATAGCCACAATCAAGAGCTATAACATATCGAGTTTGAGACGATTTTAACGATGAACTTTTCGGCGACGACGTTTCTTGTGAAATCGCGGTTTCTGTCC